CTTTAAACATGGATTACACGACACTTTCATTTGTGGTCCTCAGTGACCTGACCTCTGTTACCTGACCTGGTATCAGTGACCTCAAATAGCAAAATATGTGTTTCACGCGCAATTCTTGCGCCCATTCCGGGTGCGGGTTAACAAAAAGATCAGCTTTTTCATTTTGTTTTGCATTTTAGGGGATTATTTCAAAAGTCACTTTTTTAACCCTCGCCCCGTTGGGGGGCAATTTGCCCCCCCTGTGGTTTTTCCTGAATAGCAAGAAAACGGCGGCGCGCAGCGCCGCCAAATTTTCAGTACCTTCCCGGGCATCAATTTGACACCTTCACACCAAATTTCAAGTCTTAGGTCACGTTAGGTCAGGAGTTATTGAGGTCAAACTGAGGTCGTGTTCGAGCAAAAATGAGCAAAAAACATGCAATCTTGAAACGCTCACCAAATCTACAGTTACAAAGCAATTTCAAACTTCTTTTTATGGTCTAGTCGACAAAAAGCGGCGCTACAAAACTGTTATCTCGGATTTTCAAAATTTTTGGTTTTTGACCCCCAAAAATCCAAGAAATTGATTTTTTAGAAAAACTAAAAAAAATCCAAAAAATTCCCAATTTCGAAAAACGGAATATATATGATAGTACCTGTGCTTTTCTATATACATACCAAATTTCAGACCGATATCTTGTTTTTTGGCCAAATTATAGCAAAAAAAAAAAACTTCAAAAATGATGACGTCAAATTTTTTAACTAATTTTTTAGCGATTCTAGACCACGTAGGGCAAAACAAAGACCACCATTGAACTCCCTCTGACGAGCTGCATCAAATCGATACCCATTTTATGCAAAAATATCATCTTTGAAATTTGACCTTATTTGACCTTATTTGACCTGACCTTGACCTGACCTTGACCTGACCTTGACCAAAACGTGACCAAAGCTGGCCCAAAAGTCTGCCTAACCCACATAATCGCATTTGTCATGTAAAATGGACCATAAAACATGTAGGGGAGACCCGGGAGGTATGGGCCCCCTGGAGGTATGGGCCATCGCAGTTTTGAAGAAGTGTTGCGTATTTTTACACGTTTGACCGTGTAAACTGGTAGCAGCCATTCCGTTATACAACCCATGTGATTTTCACATTCTTCCTCAATCTTCTTTGGCAATAAGCGGTGATAAAGCGTTTTTGCCCTCTTCGAGTAAAATACTCTACTTACAGATAATTCGTGATAAATTTGAACCAGGCTCGTTTTATGATGTCAGACCAATGCTAACATAAAGTTTAAAGCATGCAAATCAAGACTGGATGGACAATTTGAAGCTTTCTTGCAAGATTATGAGCTGAGATGCTACGCAAATTCTGGCGTCCTAACCGGGAGGTTCGGGCCACCCAGCCCCGTTGATCCTAAATCAATAAAAAGATGCTTTCATTGAGTGCCATCTTCAATAAGTTTTATTTTTGTCTCGTATGGTTGAAAATTTAACTTCAAATTTCATTCGAACAGAAAAATATTACTCATTTTATTTCATGGTGCATGATTGAGTTTACCAAAATACATATGTGCCCAAAGTGACCTCCATGAAGTAAGCTGTTGGCCGCTTATGCGGTTCCTGGGCTCTAAGAGAGATCAAGGTAGATACCAGCTACGAGTATTGTTCTCATTGTCGAGAAAAGAATATGAAACATGGCACCGGCCCATACCTCCCGGGCCATGGCCCATACCTCCCGGTGTATTTTGATGGATCGAAAAAGCACATGATTTATTGAAAGTTATCTCGAGACAAAATAGTTGATCCCAGATGCCTAATATCAGGCACACTTTGCAGGCGAAAGGCAATTTCACGTGCACAGAGGGAAAAAACGGGTCTAGCCACTGCCCACTGGAAGAAAATTGCCTTTTCACAAAACCGGCCCATACCTCCCGGGTCTCCCCTATCACACGACACTTTTATATTGTGACCCCCCCCCCCTGGTGACCTGACCTCTGTCACCTGACCTGGTATCAGTGACCTCAAAGAGCAAAATATGTGTTTGAAGAACATTTCCCCATCGATGATTTTCAATGAAATGCATTTTACTCGATTTTACAACGCATTTCTTGAAATGCCTCTAAACGGTGAAAATTCGACCTTTGACCTGACCTGTGACATCATCGGTCTGACCTAGGTCAACAAAATTGGGTCATAAGGTAGTTCCCTGATAGGGCTATCCAACACCGGTTGCCGCTTGTCGCTAGGTTGCGTGGTTCTCGAGATCTTTTGGGGGGGAAATTGCCCCCCCCCCCAACGGGGTGCGTTGCTCGGCAGAGCCCAACGGGGCGCGGGTTAAAGGGACCCTCCCACCTTCAAAAAAGTTAATGAATTGGCATGAAAGTGATGTCGCTCGGTTCAGAAAGAGCAAAAACGAATATCTACCAAATTTCATCGAAACATATTTACCGGTTTTCAAGATATTAGACTTTTACTTTTGTTTACTTTTTGGGATCTCGGCTGTTCCTTGCGACTTTATTTGAAAGTGCGGCATTTGTTGCGCGCAAAGCAGCATATACCACCGCGTGCTACAAAACGTTTTAGTCAAACATTTAACGGACGTTCGAAAGCCTGATGACGTCATCAGATTCCCGTAATGGTTAAGAGATAGGGACCACGCTGGTCCCACCCTGCAAGTAAAGTGAAGAAATTTCTTGAACACCATAAAGCTGCGGGGGTTGCGACCAGGATAAATGGTGGTTTCTGAGCCTGGCCGCAAACTTGGCCATCTCAACTCAAAACTAATGTTATGGTGGGAGGGTCCCTTTAATTTGGGGTTCAAAATCAAAGCAAATATATAACAAACAAGATAGCAGTTTTGTAGCGCTGCTCGTTTTTTATCTTTTTGTTTTTCAACATTTTTCTTTATCTTTAAAAATTTTGGGCTTGACAGATCCTCCCATCAAACCTCTTTTGGGTCGGAAATGCCTGAACATGACGTCACTCTGACGTCATTTGCGGCCAACCTATCATAGACTGTGGACGAAAAGCTAACGAGGTGTAAAACCTATTTAAAAGAGGGTTCTCAAATTTTCGCGGCGATCGGAGCATTAGTTTGAGAGATATTGCGAAACGACTGGAACGGGGGCGGGGGCAAAAAATACCCCCCACCAGGACGCGGGCTAAAAAGTTTCCACTGGGTACCCTAAGAAGGTAAAGGTAATCTCAAGATTGTGGATACGCCGCTGGATGTTCTCTACGATATTAGACTAAGATCAGTGTAAACACGGGCGACAAAATATGAAAAGGAAATAGGATTGATTGACTTTCACATTGGGTTTGACAGCTTGGATAATATTTGAAGTGTCTCATATTTACTCCTACAGGGTGGGCAAAATCTCGTCACTGCAGAGGCAACTGGCAGCCACTGCGGAACATTTGCCCCCTTGCAGTAGCGCGGAACACCTTCAATTAACCCGCGCCCCACTGGGGTCTGCGTATAACACGCCCTACTGGGGGGGGCTATTCATAGCCCCCCTCCTAACTCCGAAACTACTGGGCCGATCGTCAAAATTCAAACGGCGTCTGATAGCCCCGGAAAAACTGTCGAGTGAAACCTAATTTCATTGACCTTGAGGTCACCGATGACGTCACAGGTCAGGTCAAAATAAAAGATATTAGCATTTTGGCTTGTTCACGTTTTGGGCTCTGGCCGCCGTCTTACAAGTCAGATCAGGCTCATTTTTGGTTCACACACTCGTGAACAGATGCTCTAGATACCCTGATGGTACCAAACTTGTACTTTGATTTTCAGGTCAAGGTCAGGTCATCACAGGTCACGAAAATATTATATCATGCGTCGGTCTAGTGACACATGGTTTATGGTCCATTTAGGCAAAAAATTTCGAATTTGATGTCGTTTGTGTCATTCGAGGTCATTTTGAGTCATATTTAGCTTAGGTCAGGTCACTTTCAGGTCAAAAAAGGTCAAATTTTGAAGTTAAAATTTTCAACAAAAAAGGTGTCTATTGGATGCAGTTTTAGCTCAGGAACACGATGGTGCTATTTATATTGGCGTACGATGTCAAATACGTGCTGAAAAATTGATTTGAAAAATTAATAATTGTGATTTTTTGCAATAATGCGTAACACTTGGCCATTTTTGAAGATATTTAGCTTAAATTTGCTAGAGTTAGTCATAATAATGAGTTCTATCCCATATATTCCGGTTTTTTTTCCGAAAATACAAAAACTTTTTGAAAAAAAAAATGTAAAAAAATAAATTTTGAATTTTATTATATTAAATTTTCGAAATTTTCAAAATTTCGAAAATTCGAGATGGCAGTTTGATAGCGCCGTCTATTCTGAGTCCTCTCATGCAAATAAATTGGATCTAGCTTAAAAACTGAGCTCTTGGGAGCGATTGCCGTGGTTCAATGTTTTGCGTCGAAATCGGCCGAACATGACGTCACTCTGACGTCATTTCCGGCCGACCTATTGTAGGTACGAAGCTCAAAGTTTGACACAAGGTGTCAAATTGATGCAGCCGAAGGTACTGAAAGTTTGGCGTCGATACGTCAAGCGGTTTGGAAGTTATTGCAGAAAAACGGGAGGGGGGCTATGAATAGCCCCCCCCCAGTGGGGCGCGGGTTAAAGGGGCATTTCTGACTTTTAGCTCCATTCTTTCCATGCAAAGCCCATAGGGCTTATGTTAAAATGCCGAAATCAAGGGGACACGGTTCCACGGTGCCCTCCCCCCCCCCGTTCCGCCCCTTATGCCCTCCGCCCCAGTTAATGCATGTTAGCCGAGGCCAGACACGCCAACATACAGTCTACAGGCATATGAAGCACAGACATCCAAACACTCAGACGGGTACCTAGCACACAGATAAGACACACAAAGACTCACAGAATCACATACACACTGTTACATAAACACATATAGTCTGACAATAGACACAGACGCACAAAACACACTCAGACAACAGGCACAGGGACACACAGATCCCCCCCCTCACACACAGGTCGGCCCGGCTCACCTGATATTCGCCGCCTCCGCCGTGGTCGGCTCCGGTGGACAGAGCTCAGTACCGTCCACACACTGTTGGACCACCCGCTCTGTCCACTGACCCGGCCGGTGGACGCAGTGCAGCTCCCGCTCCTCCGTCGCCCTTGTCCCGGTCTGGACCGCTGCAACTGCGCAGTATGTAATAACCCCGGGGCGGGGCGCCGCTGAGTCATGGTACCGGTTAGCGCCGACCTCGGGCCGCTGGGCGACTGCAGCGCCCCTACCGGTCACCGGCGTCGTACTGTAACTAATGGGGATCCGGGGCGTTCATGGAGCACTGTTGATGTAAGTGCACAGTTGCCTCGTAAAGGCTAGTCAGCAACAACAACAAAATAAAATGGGAACTCTCTACATTCGTCAAGGACTTGGATGTCCGGGTTCCAATGGGCCTTGTCCCGTAGCGAGGAGACTCTAGCGTGCCCAGTGAGTCGGCGGCGCGGCGTTCCAGACTGGTGACGTCAGCGGAAAGCCACCATGGATTCGTGATAACACGGGCCGGATGGCGGTGCAGCAGCCCCCCCCCCCCTTTCACCCCTCCCCGGCCGTCTGGAACTCCCCCATCCCTCCGGACACCCCGTGCAGCTCGGCAGTATAAAACATAGTGAGCAGCAGACATGTGCAGGGATGGAAGAGGCGGGTCTATGATCTCAGTGGATATCTCGACAAGTTGGAGGGTTCGGACCTACATCTCGCACCTCGCCCGGTCAGGGGCTGGGGAGGGGGAGATAGATTAACCCGCGCCCGTACATGGGGGTGGTAACCCCCTCCAACCCCCCCCCCCCAGGTAGTCTTTCTGCTCTGCACTCCACATTGTTAGAGCTAGAAGCCTGATTTTTCGTATAGCTGCTCCTCTATCCTCTCTTCATGTCCACTGAAAATTTGAGGTTTCTGTGATTTTTGGTTTCGGAGATATGACCTTGTTTTTCAGGTCATGTCATGACCCAAATGACCAATTCTCAACAACTTGCGTTGGCTATAGGCCATGTGAGCTTTTGTCACCTTCCTTTCGGGCTTTTTTTGCCAGTCTTACCTCCCACCTATCATGGAACATGTTGTTCGACGATGTACAGATGTCAAGGTCAGGGTCAAGGTCAACCTAGTTCATCTAAAAAAAATGCGTTTGAGGCAAGCTGAATTTACTTTTCGTGATTTTTTTTTACTGCATTTTTTTGTAAAAGCTTCTCAGATCATGATTTTATGCAATATGGACACATAAACAATCGGTGCACACATCAGTATACACACAGACACACACAGACATACAAACACTTATCATTGACTTTGACCTAACTTGACCTGAAATGACCTCAGCAGCAAAAATCTGGTCGGGTAGTGTGAGTGACAAAGAGGTTCTAGCTGGCTTAGCACCAGAAAACGGCATCGTTATCGGTATATGATTTGATTTGCAGCGCACTTGATATCCAGCGGTGACCCAACGGTGACCAACGGTGACAACGGTGACGAGGGTTAACCCGCGACCGCCTGGGGGGGGGGGGGTCGGATCCGACCCCCCTCCGTTTTTCTTGAATAACTTATGAACCGCCTACGCTATCGACTTGAAACTTGGCATACCTTCTTCCCCATCAATTTGACGTCTCCTGTGCATTTTTTTAAGAAAAAAAAATCATTTTTTTTTAGATATATCGATTTTAGTGACGTAACTACATGTCGTTTTCAGTCAAAAAGTGGTAAATGTTTTAAAAAATCGCCAAAAATCAGGGTTTTAAGCAAATTGCAAATTAAGGACATGAGTAGACGCAGCTTAATGAGTTCTTTAAAATGGCTATCTCTGATTTTCCATGAAATGCGTTTTTCACCCCTAAAATTTCGAAAAAAACTACATTTTTTTGGAAAACAGCTAATAAAATCCAAAATTTTGAGAGTTTCCAAAAAACCGGAATATATGTTATAGAGCTCTATTAGAACATTAGATGTCCCAAATTTCAACTTTCTATCTTGATTTTGACCCCCAAATTCTAAAAAATAGCTCCAACATGCATAGGGCATGGTGACGTCATAAGCATTTTCGTGAATTATAGGCACTTCTAAACATTGCATGTGAACACAAATGGCACCACTAGATTCCTGGGACAAAGCTCGTCTAGAAAAGTCAAAAGTGCATTTTCATGTCAAAAATACAAAGTTGAAAAATTGACCTTTTTTCTTAGCCCTCGTTTAGTTATGTATGGTATAAACGATTTTTTATGCTTTCACTGCACACTTTTCCACCAGCACAGTGACTTGGGGTCACATATAACCATTACCATCGGATTCGGCGTGAAAAATAAGCCATAAAACATGTGTCGCACGCCCATGTAGCAGAAAGTGAAAACCGTGACCTTTCGTGACCTGACCTGACCTTGAACCGTACTTAGTATGTCCCCTATACGCACATGGTACCTTCACTAGGTCTTTGAGGTCATTTTTGGTGAGTTTCGAGCAGCAGCTGTCGATTCCGCTGTCCGTAAGCCTAATCATGCAAAACCCCAGAATTTGACCTTTGACCTGACCTTGACCCGAAAGTTGACCTCAATCTTAAAATCTTAACCCTCGCCCGTAAACGGCGATCTGCCACCTTCGCCCATGCAGGGGGGGGTTGGTGCGACCCCCCCTTGGCGTTTGAAAACGGAGCGTCGTAGAGCTTAGCGGAAAAAAAAACAACGGATTGCTCTCAACGAGATCTCGCGATTGGTGGTATATTTTTTGGTCCTAGGTCAACATTTGACCTACTTTTGACCGGTCAAAGGTCAAATTTTCGGAAAAATAGACTTTTTTCAAGCTTCCGCGGCGATTGCGGCAAAACGGTGGGAGATATCGACTTGAAACCTTCACTATCGTGTTCCTTGATCAATTCTCTATCGTTTGGTATGTATTTCGTTTCCCTAGCTCTAAAAATGGCGCGTTGGGAGCGCCGGAAGTCGGCAAGGTCACAGTCGGCGGCAGAAATTCGAAAAATCAAAATTTAAATTTTTGAAATCTGATTGTATTTTTGGATTTGGGAGGTCCATTTGCTCCCTATAGAAGCTAATATTGCTGCATATTCCCATTGAGGTGACAAGGATTAGTAAAATAGTGGTTCGGGCGCTTTTCAAAAATAGTACCGGACGCTGTTCCTCTTGTGACGTCATAGCTCCGTGACCTGACCTGACCCGGTCAAGTTTCTTATACCATATGATAGCCAATACTTGCCCCAACATGCATGGGAAGTTTCATCACGATCCATCAACCGATGTCCGTACCACCGGCAGGAAACCTCGGGCGTTGGCACTCAGTTTGTGAAAATCCGGCCGGAGGCTGTTCCCTTTGTGACATCATAACTCCGTGACCTGACATGACCCGGTCAAATTTTTTTTATCAAAAGATGCGCAAGGTTTGCCCCATCAGGTACCCAAAATTTAGCGGCGCTGCGCGCCGCCGTTTTTGCACTATTTCCGAAAAACCTCAGGGGGGGTTGCACCAACCCCCCCCCTACATGGGCGAGGGTTAAGAGTGCTTTGGGAAGGTATCGTAGAGACCTTTCGAACGCCGCCTCGCGGGGCTCGATGCGACCATTGGTTCTCGAGATAACAGGGGGAGGGGGTCGGATCCGACCCCCCCCCCCCCCCCAGGCTGTCGGAAATAGCCCAGGCGGTGCCGGGTTAAGCGGGAGGGAGGGGGGAGAATGGAAAGCTTTTATACATAAATAAGTAAAAGTCTACTCTTGAATGAAATGGAAACGGTTAAAATGCACAAAATACGGGGGTCACAAATGCGGTTCACTGAATCGTTCTCGTAGGGCCACGTCGGCCGCGTCGTACGTAAGGCCACGTCGGCCACGTCGTGCACCGGGCCGTATCGCACCGGTGGAGTCCCGTCGAAGACTGTTGGGCCCCCGTCCCGTCTCAGCCCTCGTGGTAGCACAACACGTGGTCCTGAGAACCAGGACAGGGGCCAGATGACACATATGTGCCCGGCGTGGCGCGGCGGACCGACCGCCGCGCTCCGAGCGCCGGCCGTCTTTGCGAAAATACCTAAAAATACCAACGTATTCGCTCGCTAACACCTAGGTTTACCAATGTTGTACAAGCGGGACATTTTTATTGGTCCACCTACTAGAGTCTAGAGATGTCAATCGGACACTAACTTTTTGGTATACCGATACCAAACCGATACCAACTTGGCATTTGGTGTTTGAATCCTAATGTGTTTGGTATTTTGTTGGTATCATGAACCCTCACTAACGTATAAGAGGCTGGAGAAATTGGTAAAAAGTTGGTATTTCCCTAATGTTCCCAAGTTGGTTTGTTTTCGGTATTTCCCCATGGTTTTGGTTGGTATTTCGATTTGTATCGGTATTCCGATTTTCCGTAATTGACATCGCTACCACCTACCCTTTAAATATCGTGTTTCTAGATGCCATATAAGTCAGGGGCTTATATATGTCGTAGGCATCGGGTGAAATCCGGCATTTCATGAAATGCCTAGGCATTACATGGAATGCCGGCAAAAACTGAAATATTCGTAGAATTAGGCGCGTTACAGCGAATGCCTGAAAATTTTAGGCATTTCATGAAATGCCAGGCGGAGGCCAGACACTCCCTGAAATATGGTCAAAATTAACTGAGTACACTGGTTGCCTAGGCATTACATGAAATGCCCGACTGACGGCCGGCACTTTCTGAAACAATTACCGCAGCTGTGTGGTTTCCCGCGCTTTTTTCGTATCCATAGAAACCACGACTTGTCTGCGCGTGCAGCGTCTTAGCGGCGGCGTGGGAAGGGGTTTTCGGCTGGCTGTCATTGGGCTGTCAGTTGCGTTGGAGGTGTAGCGGGTGGTTTTCGTTTGTCAGTAGCTTGCTGAGTCGTCTCATTTTATTGTACCGAGTAGCCCGCAATGGAGGCCGAAGATGGCAGAGAGGGCTCAGGGGACAGCGGACGAGACAGGCAGGGAACTCAAGACAGCGAACAAGACTCGGAACCAATGAAGACTAGATTTTATCAGGCGCTTAATGAGCACTACAAGACGAAAAACAAGAAACAGGCTATGTACAGGGAGGACATTCAGAGGATCATAGAAGATCTACAGGCCGCGAAGCAAAGAAAGCAGCGCGGGGAACGTCTGACTCGCATGCAGTATCATTATGTGTCTACGTATGACATAATGCAAATATCCGACGACAAGTTCCTGATCAAAAAGCCCAAAAGCGACCGGGAAAAAATAGAGTATGTGGTTGCATACCAAGACTTCTTTAATGTCCTCCAAGTACACCACAAGAAAACTGGACATGGAGGCAGGGACAAAATGCTGCATTCGCTAAAAAGGAAGCAACTTGTCCCGAGAGCCGCTGTGAACATCTTTGTAAAGGCGTGTACCGTTTGCGAAGCGAAGGCGACCATAGGGAAGAAGGGTCTCGTTGTGCGGCCCATCACCTCGAAGGATTTCAACAGCAGAGGTCAGGTCGACCTCATCGACCTGCAGAGCGCAAGTGACGGCAACTTC